GTAGCAAGTAACAAAATAAGGCCCTAGGAGTTTGTCATGATACCTCTCTGTGAAAGCTGTGCATGCAGTGAAGTTCTGTGCTGCTGCTAGTTCCCAAGTCATCATGACAAATAACACACAAACCCAAATCTTGCTCCTTCAAATGAAAGGAAATTTTTATCAGCCTTAAACAACCCCAACTCAGAATTGCTCTTAATTAGGTAATCAGATCATAATGATTCCAGGATGATCATCATGATTCCATGAACGAGTGATGAACGTTATGGTTGACGTACTTTGACTGTATAGTAGAGACCTGGATTATGCTACTGTGGATCTACGTTTTTTCCATGCAAAATACATTAAAGGTATGGAAAATCTGTTGTCTGAAGTAGCCTCCAACTCTGAGTAGGTGAAACTTGGCACAACAGAGAAGGAGTTTATGAAATCATTTTTTCATTACAAATTCTGATCTAACCTGTGATAAACAATCCTGCAAAGGTGAGAGCAGCCCAAAGTTACTTTGTTCACCCTGAGGACCTTTTATTGCTGCTGGAACTGTCAGCGCAAAGGGATGTTCTAACCATTCTTCTCTCCTGGGCATAACTTTGTGCTAGCTGTGAGAAGGCTAAGCTAAAAATGCTCTATCTGCTTTCTGACAGACAAAATTCTCAGGAGTCCTCAGGGAGTAGACCTATTAGATTTAAAATGCTTATGAAAGACATTTAAGATGTATTTTGTGCATATAGGAAGACTAGAGTATCAACTGAGATCCACTGCATAAAGATCCAGGAAGGGTTGCTTCCCAAAAAAACCCGCCTTAGTGTCCACCTCATATAATAGGATACGGTTGCAGGGAAGCCCAGGGGAACGGTGTCCCTGAAACCTTCCACTCAAGCTTTGGAGCAAAAGGAAAGCTCCTTTTTGATATTTCAGTATCAAAATAGGACTAATTCACTAGGCCGAGGACTCTCTGTAAGGACTCCATTGGCTTTTCAATGAAAAATCATATAAGACTGTCATGGATTTTGGTGAGACTTCTCAGTACAGCAAAACTCTACCAATTAGTTTAGAAATTGAATGAACCAAATCATTTTGACAAACATAAGAAGGACAAGAATGCATCGAATATGACAGAATATTAGTCTTTGATACTCCTTGTATCACTTCTATTTTTCTGTCTGGCCTCAGAGGTAAGACACAGCTGAAAGAAGTTACACTTTTCCAAAGTACAGTAGAGACTGGGCTAGGATTCAGAGGGATCCTCCTAACAGGAGGAATATCGTCTGTCAACCCAATCTAAAACTACAGAGTAAATGAAAATCAACACCCTACAAGCAATGTTTTCTATGATGAGTGGGTGTATTTTAGCATTTGTTCATACACAGTTAGCAAAGCTCTGGCACAACAAGTGCAGGCAGGGCATTATCTATGGAGTTTGTTGGATTTCCCGATTCATTTCTCTCAGTGAATGGCTAGATTTTGGCTGCAGTATCTTTCTGGACATATTTCAAGACTTGTTTGTTTCTAATGGTTTTGGCAGTTGCCTGTATAAACTCAAGGTCATGTGATTATGAATAATTTCAGCATGAATAACTTTGGCTATCAGGTTTGATTATATCTGTGTGATTTTTATCCTATTCATTCAAAGCCAGAGCTATGCTTACCCAAATACCTTCTTTTGTGCTAAAGAACAAAAAAGTACACGTTAACATTTTCATTTTTTCACATGTAATATTAGGTTTCTTTTTTATTGGGTATTGTACTCTTGTTCAGATATACATTGTGGTTGTTTTATTTTATTTATGCATTGTAATATTTCCTTTTTTTTTCTAGAAAGGATTGTTGTGGTTATGTACATAAATATAGATGCTCCTTCATTTTGCCTTTGCAGGGTCTGTCATTTTATATATTAGTATGTGATACTTTAAAAAGTATCCAAAACTTAACCCATCTTCAAAACCATGCTGCAATTAAAAAATACCTCAGAAGCATGTAAGCATAAATATTTTGCTTTGAGAATGCCACCTAAAAGATGAGGTAACCACGCTTGACATTCTCCTCTTAGCCCTCTCAGAAAACACAGGTATAACTGGATCATGCTTTTGAAATGCTTGAATATGTGCCCTAACTGCCACTTTCTAGTTAGTCTGATGCACTGGAAAGGATCCACAGAGAGGAGCATTTTACTAGAGCATGTCACCTGTGAGACACAGCAAGTTTAAAATGTCCCTCACAGGCCTCTGAGTCACTTCAGCTTCCGACAACCAGGCTGCAGTCAGCCTACTTCTGCCTGCTGGCTCCCCTCTCTTGTAAAACTCTTCCAGGTTTTTAACATTACCTGCTAATGAGCATTTTGGAAAAGATATTTTCTGCTCCTTTTGTCTTTGCTTCCCACTAACTGAGCCCCTTTGTCTCCAAGATTTGGACTCTGATGCAACTTACAGCCATACCATTCTTGGAACGAGTGGAAAGCGCAAACTACGTATGCCAAGGAATGGGCATGTGTGCAGAAAACACTCACAGCCAGCCATGCTGCTCTGGGAATTGGGGATGGGAATCAGAGCAATGGCTATTTTTCGTGTCAGTCTTGACATGAAAACCAAATGTCACAACCAAACTTGTGACCTACCGTGAAAAAGAAAACCCTCTGGAGTCTTTCTAACTACTTGTAAATCACAATTCCACTTTTAGTGGAAATAGAAATATCAGCCATGCCATTGCAATCACATTCCTCTTTGAATGATTACCTTCCTTCCCAAATGCCTGATTCATTATGGAATAATTGTTAACTTCTGCGGAGAACAATGTCATTCCATCAAGCAAATTTCAGTCTTTCTAAGTAATGCTGTTGTGTCAGACTACATGGGACTGAACTGAAAAGGGCTGTCGGTCCAGTGAGACGTGATATGAAGCAAGAGAAAACACTACTAAACACTTTTGAGTAAACATTTTTTAGCAATTTAAGGAGGACAGTTGAGGACATTATTTGAAAGCTTTTTTTCCAGAGTCACACCATGGGGCTGACAGGGGCATAAACAGTTACAGACTCTCCCATTTGAGAGATGGGGTTCAGTGATAAACACAGGAGCTGTTTGCAGGCAGACCTGCTAGGCTGCCTTGATGGCAGTGAGGCTCGCCTGTGCTTCGATGGAGATGGTAAACAGCAAGTTAGAGCCAGGCACATGTGGGTTTTCTATTTTAGCTCTTTTTGGTGTTTTCCTTTCATCAGGTGTGGTGTGCAACCAGCATGTTAATCTCATGAATACAAGTTTTTTGCAAATTCTGCTGTGGTACAGCTGGGCCTGTTGAGTTAACCTGGCTGGAAAACAGGAGAAGGGAGAAGCTGATGCTCTGAAATCCATAAAAAGCTGCTGGGGCCACAGCATTTAGCTCTCATGAGTTGTGAGGGCAGGCTGCTACACAAAGGGATGTATGTGAGAGGTTCTACATGAGGAAGTCAGTCACAGCTGGCCATGTAACTTTCTATGCAGGTCTATAGCAACGCAATCTTCAAATTAGGGCTACAGAAGGAAAGTCATCTGCATGGAAGTTTTAGCTGCAGAAGAACTTCATGAAAATTCAGTCTGGATTGGGGAGGACAGGAACTATGCATAGGAACATTTTTCAGTTTATAACATTTATTAGTTTATAAGTTACCAATTAGAAGCAATTTACAAGCATCAGCAATTCGATTTGCTTTCTTATGTATTCCCCAAAGATCTACTTAAAAAGAAAAACAATCCTTTAATGAAGGTAAGTGAGTGTTACAAAGTTTTAAGGATGCCCTAAGCTTTTAAAAGGGTGAACATTCAAAATTAAGGCTCTAAAGTAAAATAGTAAGATCTTCGCTAGTTACAGAAAATCACAGGAAGAACATCCACCAACTTTTACTTTTGCTCATGACCTCATTAGTCCTAATTTTTCTCTAACTTGTTATCTAAAGCAGGCTTTCTCTGTACTAGGCCTGGGGAAATTATTCCCAAAGAGGACAGGATTATTTTCTGCAGGGAAGACTTACATGCTGAAGAGGACCATGGGGGGGTTGTGGGGATGTGTATCTGATTATGAGCATGTGGAGAATTTCCTTTCTGCACAAGAAAATACAACTTATAGTTGGTGAGATTTATATCTGAGTTCAGGGGATCTTCAGCCAGAGGAAACAGAGTTTTCCTAAATCCTGCTTACCATAGCCAGAGCAGGTTCCCATTCCCTAGGTTTGGTCCTAGTTCTAGAAAAGTGAAAAAGGGGAAAAAGTTTGCGATGCCTTACCTTGAATGTGTGGAAACCTGTTGAAGACATCATACAGAAGTATGACAAGCAGAACATCTCTGTTTTTACAGGAGAACTTTCAGCAAGGATCAAATTTTGATGAAGCAAAACTAGACATGTAGCAAGAGGTTGGTAGAAACAATGCAGGACTTTAAGGTAGTAAATGGAGACGGGGAAGGCCACAAAAGCAAGATGATGAGGTTAAAAGTTGGGAGAAAGAACTAGCTGTGTGACTGGGAAAACGGGACTGAGGATATGAGAGAGGGCTTAGGGGATGCAAGAGAAATGAGTCATATTGCACAGTGATAGGTCAAGCAGAGAAGTGAGGTGTAGAAGAGAACATGTAGGCTTCTCTTTTATTACTTCCATAAAATTGGAGCTAGGAGATTGTCAAAGCAGAAAGATACCTGTTTCCAAGACAGATCTAAGTAAATGTCAGGACCAGGAAGCAGGTGGCTATTTATGTGTAATTTTTCCTTTTCAAACCTAGCAATAAGACTGTTTTCAATTAAAACAGAAACAAGGCTTTACATCACTTCTCATGGTTTGTAATACATACACATTCTCCTCTTAAATGAGGAGAATGTGTATGTATTAAGCATCCATCACTGCTCTGCCACAATATTAAATTTGCCTGAAACCCTCTTACAGTGGTTAATTGCTAACTCGGATCTTGCTACACTCACTCTATGACAAGGGTCACATTTCTAGTGGCAAAAGTAAAGGCAGGAAGGTAGTAACATGGTGTCAATGATGCAGTTGAATTTTACTTTTATTTTACAGGTTAGGGTTTATTCTACCTAACAGGCCTCTTCTAATCAAAGCAAAACAAGAATGCTCCCTCTGCTCTTGAGGGGGAGTGTTAAAATTCATTATCTTAACACGTTCTAGCTCCCCGTGCATAAGTATCCTTTCTCAGTGCTTGCTTGTGAAAGAAATTGTTTGTTGTGTTTTGCAGGTACAGCTTCTGAACCTTCATCTTCTTCCTGCTCTCTCCTTGGCTCTGATTTTTCTCCCATTCTCTTATGAGACTTGCTTTTTCCCAAATGCAATCTTTCTCTTCTCTCCTTCACACCTTCAGGTTGCTAAAAGACAGGTTAAAAATAGCAGGGAATTAAAAGCGAATTCCACATGAACAAAAAAAAAAATCATTATTTTTTTCCACTAACAATGTGTAATAAAATATTCTAATCACCTACCTCAGCAAGATCACCCTTAATATGATGGGCTCAAATTCAAGGCCCAAGCAAGTCAGTCACCCTAAAACTCAGCAAGAGCAACATGTTTTTGGTTATGCTCTGTTTGGTAGGAGAGTCACCTGCCCAGAGGACTTGAGGGGAGGGCAGACAGGAAGGAGAAAGGGAAGAGCTCTGAGATTTCAGCCCAGAATCATTGTTTCTGTCCTTTAACATGATCCATCTTTATGTGACTGGAGGCTGTTCAGTGCTAGCTGCAAAGATCTCATTGAAGACAAGTGCTGAAGGTCATGAAGTGTCCTCCAAGCCAGGTTTGTAAGAAGAAAACAATATGCAGTGAAGGGGATAAAGTGGGATTACTTTTCCCCAACTTTTCCTTTACCTGTGTGGTCATATGGATGAATTGCACCTACAGATCCCTGAAAGCAAAAAAATGCTCGATTTGGAGATGCAAGCTGAAGAACACTCTCAAATTTCCTTTCAGATCTCTTAACACCTATTGCTCAGTTCTTCAAGATTCTTAAGTCCTTCACATCTCCCAGATGTCAATGGTGACTGAGAGGATGATGACAATTTGGAGTACCTGAAAGGTAGATTAAAATACAGCCTAGCACACTTCACTGCAGATTACAGAAGGGTACCAAAATATGTCTGTTTAACTGGAACTGAAGATGTATTTGGTGCATTATGCTCACTACATCTATCGTACAATTATTACACACTCACAGACTTTCTATCCATAGGCACTTTTAATAAATGATAAATGATAAGCCAGTGGTGAGGCTTGGCACATGAGGCAAATGAAATAAATTCTGGGTAGTTCCCAAAGGGGAAAAAGAAGATTAGAGAATGAACTTAAAATCTTAAAAATGGCATAACAGAGTTGTCATCACCATAATTCTGCATATTCTTGGAGGACTGGTCATGCAAGGACTGTAATTGTGGGATTGATCATGTAATGATGCTGCTTATTGAAAAGAAATTTTCATTCTCTCTTGTTGCTGAACAGAAGATCTGTGAAAAGAGCTGAAAATTATTCTTCCATGAACTGTCAGTGTCAACAAACTGGGGAAAAAAAAAAAAAGATATTTCCTTCTGTTTTATTTGGTGCTAATGCCAAGTGTTATTCAAGTACAGCTTTTTCAATAGGGTGACTGAATTTAATAGTGTTCCTCTGATACATTAAAGTTCATTAGGGTTTATTACTCTTCCTTCCATTGTATGATACACCAGATATCATATACCATAATACTAAATATGTGTTAAAGTGTCATAGACAAAAGGCTGTTATTGGCTACTTCATCAACACAAACCATGCAGAAAATGCTCGTGCCTCAGGACAGAATGACGGGGAGAAGAGAAGGATGAAATGGGGAGAGAAGAATGAAATGGGAAGAGAATCCCCTGATGGCTGCATGCTCATAGAGTGAAAATATGTTCAGCTACTTAAAGCAATGGTTGCTGCTGCAGCTGTATGGTAACACTAGCGAAAGCAGATGGATGGAGTCCCAAGGGGTAAAAGAGAAGCCTCTCAAACATGACGGTATCTGGTAGTCTGACAGATAACACTGTATTTGGGTAAACCAAGTAGGTAGCAGCGAGAAAGAGAGCGGGGTCTTTGGCAAAAGTGAAGAAAACCTGGTTTTATATTGTCACTTTTTAGTGGCACAGCTGTAGAAACCTCCGAAAACATTGCCACAGCCAATGCGGTGTCTCGTTTTGAAGATACACATTTTTTCATAAGTCTAAATTGTAACATTACATCAAGAATTCTTATGCAAATGATACTACCACTTTAAACTTTTTTGCTTTACTGTAAGGACAATATAATTTGAGAAATTCTAACTCAAGTTTATTTCTCCTCTTCCTCCAAGAAAGCCACAGCAATTACACCAGGAATAAAGCTGGTCTACTTGTTACTTGGTTGGGTTATTTTCTTCTGAAGTGATCTTAAGTTGGTTGCTACCTACCAAAGAAACTGAGCGTTTGCTTTTGAGATGCAATTGTTTTTCAAAGGACTCTGCAAATTCCTGGATGGAGTTTGATCTTGTCTCTGGGCATGAGCTGTCTCCTGAAGGTGTTCTGCTTGCCTTCCTGTGGCAGTGGCATTTGACATCCTGGTCCTCTTGAAATTCCTTGGATCCCTTGAGATGCCCTGAAGATGAGCCTTTGGTAGAAGCATGAAGTCGTGTTGTGTGGAGAGAGGAAAGCCTGGCCTGAAAAACAAGAGGTCTCTGTTGATTATTGAATATTAAAACAGAACACACAGGGCAGATTCCTTTTGCCGCCAAGTGCTCTTCAAGCAACAGTGCAGAATGAAGGACCTTGCCCAGACTTCTGTATCTTTCCTTTTAAATAGAATTGCACTGGCAAGAGCTTGTTTTCCAGAGGCAGTGGCAGAATTTGCTTTTATTCCTGTTTTCAAGTATCTAAGTTTTGGCACCCAAATGAACATTTCAAATGTAAACTGTGCTGGGTTCTCTTAGTGCCCACTGACACTGAAAGGAACTGGGACCCTTCATAACCTCAGAAACTCAGGTCTTACATCTGGCAGCAGATTCTAGGCAGGACTCTCAAAAAGCAAAGACCCAATCTTTGTGGCCAAATTAGCCAGATTCAGTGTCCGACCCAGAGGTGCTCCAGGTCTTATTAAATGCTTGAGTTCATTTGAGTGTGACAGTGACCTTTTATCCCAGTGTCAAATTTTCAGCATGGACTATAGGCAGACAAGACACTTCATTGTCCAGGTCTGAATTTTCTGCTGGTTTCTTGGGCACGTTTGTCCTGAACTGATGAGGGAGCACTTTCAGGGCACTGAGGAATGCATCCCTACCAAAGAAATGGTAGAAAACAGACCTCCTATAATTACACTTGTAGGGCTAAAGCAGTGAGGGAGTAGATAGTTGTTTAGATTCCATGTGGTTCAGTTTTCCTAGGCCTGACATGAAAATAAAAACTATTGATCTGCATCAGCTATGTTTAATTGAATGTCTGTAAAGGAGAATAAACTGATACAGAACTGCTGTGCGCTGTGGAGTCATGTATTGGTGGTTTTAGAAATAGACAGACCTGTAGAAGAGGTGGGTGAGAAGGCCACCACATAGAGCCAGGCATGCCCCAAACCCTGCCAGCTGTTGATGTTTTTTTGGGTAAGTAGTTGAACACTGATGAGATGCAGGTAGTGAAAATTGTGGGAGAGAGGTGGGAGGTATCAAAAATGAGGCCCCCACAGGTGTCAAGTTAGGGCATTCCAGGTACCCAGCTGCTGCATACATGTTTGAATGCATATATGATTTGTATAAACCTGGTGCTAAGCTGCCAGCTACTGAGTAACTGTGAGAATCTCTGCTGGCTTCAAGGGACCTGCGATTGTTTATAACCACTAAAGGTCTGTCCCACAGATCCTGAAATGCTTTCTAAGAAAACCCAGGAGAAAACCCTACACTCACAGGGTTTTAAGGGGAGCTTGTTTGTTTGGGGGGGTGTGGGTGGGTTGTTTTGTTTAACTTTTAAGAAACAATAGTGTAAAACTAAACCTGCTTAATATAGTGGCCACATGCATCTACAAACCTCGGACTGCAAAGGACCTGAAACATGTCCTGTATACATTTCCATTTACTCTGGCCCAGCTGCTATTTTAAGTTTATCAGCACAAGAGGGACCTATGCAGCCTTTCTCTGAATAGTGAGGCTGTGCATCCATATGCTTGTGAGTACATCACATTACACAGTTTTAATGAGAGGTGCTAAAAATAACAAATCTTATACCTGACAGAAGCACCTAATACCAAAGGGTTTTCAGATCATACGGCACAGGCTCAATTTCTTTTCCCTATATAAGCTCACTTCAGTAACTAGTATTATGGACTGCCTCCAAGAGCAGTGGTAATGATTTCTGCTGTACTATTTTTACTTTGGTTTCAAACCAATCAATACAGCTGTAATTTCTGTAAGGTCATATTGTATTGTTATTTTAAAAACCACCAAAGCAATCACATTGTGCCTGAGGGGCAGCAGGACACATACCATGTCAAGTTCAACACGCTAAATGTCTTCTGTGTCATTTTAGTGCCATCAACAAATATTGTTTCCTGGAAATAAAAATTGTTTCCCCCTAAAAATCACTGCTATTTGTTCCTAGAGGGTTTGAGGAAAAAAAAAAAAACAACCCAAACCCAGGAGGACAACTGAAATGGGGGATGGTATTCTATCAATTCTGGTTTGAAGTATTTGTGAATGTTTTATTTTACTAAGACATTGCTTTTTATCTTCCCTTCACAGATAGACTTACAGATAAGTCCTTAACAAAAAGACTGGAGTTCACATACTGACATGGCAGCAATGGTCCAGAAAAGGGACAGGTCTTCCTCTGATATGTGTATCTGCCTCAGTGGACTAAGAGTAAAGCTACACATACAGATCTATGCAGTCATATTACTGTGACTGTGCCTCCTCCCACAGTGCCTTTGCCTGATACACACCACCATAGCTAGGAGGACAGCATGCTCGTGCATGTCAGCATGATGCATTCTTACAGATGCAGCCCTACAGAGGACTAGAGCCTTAACACAACTGCTCAAGCATGAGCATTGAAAGGCTTATAACTCGCACAGTCCAGTAGTCTTATTGAAGATTGACTGTGTGGAGAACTGAAAGAGTCATAAAATGAAAACCAGTGATGAAGCAGATCTGGCACTGACTTTACATAAAATCCGTCTGGCTTTCTTCCTGCTTCTTAGATTTAATACATACATTTAATACACGTGTTTGGTGCAAGATTGATCACCTGGTAACATTGTAAATAGGAGCAGCTGAAGACTGCTTTAATCTATGTTTGCCATCTCAGAAGGTGCTGGCAACAGAGATCATCTCTGTATCTGCACACTCTGGTGTCCACCCACTGCTGCTGTCATCCCTTGCCAAAGGTCTCCGAACCCCAGTATCTGCTCCTGTGCTTGCCCCAGCAGCTGCTCCATGCCTACATCTGGTGCCTCTTTAGCAACACACACCCCACCTGCCCACCCTTGTTCTCTGGCTCCTAGGATCAGACCTTGATTAGTTCTTAAACTGGAGAAGTCAGAAGAAGGTGAAACAAGGGAAAAGGCATGGAAGGGAAGACCGACCGGTAATTTTTGCCAGTGGTGGTGTGCTAGTTTTGGCTGTGATAGAGTTAATTTTCTTCATACTAACTAGTATGGGGCTATGTTTTGGATCTGTGCTGGAAATGGATGTTTTAGTTACTGCTGTGCGGTGCTTGTACAGAGCCAAGGCCTTTTCTGCCTCACCCCACCAGCAAGTGGCTGGGGGTGCACAAGGAGTTGGGAGCGGACACAGCCAGGACAGCTGATCCCAACTGACCAAAGGGGTATTCCAGACCATATGGTGTCATGCTGAGCCTGTAAAGCTGGGAGAAGAAGGATGGGGGGGACTTTAAAAGTGATGGTGTTTGTCTTCCCAAGTCACCATTATGCACAATGGAGCCCTTCTTTCCTGGACCTGAACCCTCCTGCTGTTCCTTCCCATGGCTGAACCCCTACCTGCCATGGGAGATGGTGAATGGATTCCTTGTTTTGCTTTGCATGCGGACACAGCCAGGACAGCTGATCCCAACTGACCAAAGGGGTATTCCAGACCATATGGTGTCATGCTGAGCCTGTAAAGCTGGGAGAAGAAGGATGGGGGGGACTTTAAAAGTGATGGTGTTTGTCTTCCCAAGTCACCATTATGCACAATGGAGCCCTTCTTTCCTGGACCTGAACCCTCCTGCTGTTCCTTCCCATGGCTGAACCCCTACCTGCCATGGGAGATGGTGAATGGATTCCTTGTTTTGCTTTGCATGTGCATGCAGCTTTTGCTTTACCTATTAAACTGTCTTTATCTCAGCCCATAAGTTTTCTCACTTTTACCCTTCCAGTTCTCTCCTCCACCCCACTGAGGCTGTCTACTGACTAGTTGCTGGATGGGGCTAAACAATGTCAACTGGGAAAGCCAGAAACACCAACCATGTTCTCACAAGTTGTTTCTCACTTCCCTTTTCTGCTTGAGCCTTTGCGTAAAGGCCAGTCATGCTCAGTATATCTATTTACGCAACAGATAATCATTTGCTAATTGCCCATCTAAACCATACAAAAAGTATATAAACAAAATACTTCATGAAATTGATGTCAATATAATTTCCTATTCTCTTTCTCAGTTTCTGTTGGAAGCAAGATAATTGCTTCCATCTTTTGGGCTTGATTTGAGGACTTGCACAGCTGTCAGTAAAGAAAATTAATCTTCAGTGTGTCAGCACCAGTGTTCATTGTTCGCTGAAGTTTACCCAGTAACCCCAGTACTTAAGGGATATTTTGGAACATCTGACATTCAGATGCTGTCCCACAGCTTGCTTTCCTTCCAAGAAGCTTATAGCCAAGCATATATTCCTTAAAAATGTTCTGGCCTAGGCTCCAGCTGATCTGTAGTTATAATATTGTGGTAGATGTTCTGTCTGACTTCAGTTTAAAACAAACGTTTAAATCAAACTTCAACAGCAGTCAGCTGTTCTGCTCCCACTCAGCTTTTTCTTATTAGATTTTCTCCTGTAGGCAGCACTTGAAGGTGGATACAATTATAGGGCTGTAATGCTCTTATCAGTGCTCCTTTGCTTCCTATCTTTTCCACACAATAAATTGTCTGGGAGATAAGAAACTGTCCTGAATGAAAATGATGGAGGATAACTAAAATGTGTTAAGGAAAGTCATAGTTGGAGGCTTCAAAAAGGGTATCACAGTTAATGCTGCATGTACAGTGTCTAAATTTTGCAGGGGAACAAGCTAATTAGAGATAGAAAGAGAAGACTTAGTTCTTCCCAGGCAGTTTTCTCATTCAGCATTGGCCCACAGCAACATATACAACTCTGACCCTTTCCAGGGGAGTGGAGTTGAAAGTTTCAGCCTGCCTTACCAGTGACCCAGTGAAGGATTAATATAATTTTGTGTTCCCTTCTGCAAAATAGGAATGCAAAAGCATTTTCCAACGCTCATCTCAGTAATGTTTGTGAGGTATACTAAGATATTGGGCAAAAATAATTAAAAGCATTGTTAATTTGGGAGTTATTCTGCAAAGCTTTATCCATATTATGGGGACATCTACCATGGTAAGATCCCACAGGAGCTTAACATTGTGTTTGAGATGAAAGCAGTTGCTTGAATATCTTTCTATAGCACAGGAAAAGCTACAAAGACCACCATACCAGTTTGGAGCTGAAAGTGATATCCAGTGTTATGCAAAACCACCTTTTATGCTATACTGCTAGCATTTTGCTATGTAATACCAAACACTCCTGATGCAGATGCAGTTCATGTAGGCAGGACTGCACTACTGCTGATGCATCGTATACCAGCCCTGGATAGGAGACAAAGCGTGCTGCTGGCAGTGCTGCTTTGGCAGTACCATTGTATCTGCACAAGGAACTTCTGCCAACAGGTGTGTCAGTCAGAACCTGCAGACTTGATCTTCATCCAGACAGCAGTTATCATTTACAATGTTGAGACAGAAGAAAGGGCATACTGTGATCTGCTGCAGAGACACTAACTTACAGAAGAGATGCATTCTAATCTCAGTTGTTATTCCTCATGATTAATAACACTGTTCTAATAAAATACAGACAATATTTAACTAACACTAAGTGTTTTGAATCTTACAGTAGTTATTATTTCTAATAACTGTGTAAAAAAATAAACATCCAGGTGCAATAGCAAGTTGTTGCTCTCAACAAGGAGATGCTCTTTCTGAAGATATTTCTAAGGAATTACTAGTGCCCAATTGTCTAACTTCTAGATTTGGTTTAGGACAACAACATGTTTTAGTGCTCTTTACTACCATCTAGTCAGAGTTTTCCAATTTAAAAAATTAATCTCAAATTTTATCCCTAAATCATTAAATCCCTAAAGTACGTTTCCTTTCTCATTCCTCCAGTCAGTTTCTGGCACTGAGAAATTAAGCAGTTGAAATTTATAATACTACTGGAGCAAGACAAATTTGTGTGGAACATTAATGTAAAGGCAAGACATAATTAGGTGTACAGGATAACTTTAGCTCGTTGAACAGTAATGTCAAAATTCATCGTTTTTTCTGTCAGCTAACTTAATCCAAGTTCTAGGTATGGATTCATGGATGCAACTATAGCAAAATATTTGAATAGCTAAGTATTGAAATAGCTTTCGAACAAACTGAATAAAAGAATGTGCTTCAAATGAAATAATACGTGTACACATGCAAATACACGCACAAACATACATAAAGATGTGTTCAGCAGCTTGCCAAATGGAAAGTGATTTAAAGTACATTCTTACACTTCAGTCTGTATTGGGGCCTAAAGAAATCACATATTTGTCGATCTCTGAAAGACAAATTTGAAATACAATAAAATTAATTAGAAACCTTCTGCTTTCAGGTATTCTGATGGAACCTATCAGCAAAGATCTAGCTCAGAGTCTATCTTGCAGTCTTTGACCAAGGTGTAGTATAACTGTAAATAACAAATGTGGTTGATCAGTTCAAAACTAATGAATGAAGGTTAACTATCCAGACTGTCCATGAATTCAAAGAGTGGGGAGGTGGCTTAGGTCTGTTTGGTTTTCTTAGCCAGATTTTTTGAAAAGGAAAAATCCCACAGCTTAGAACATGGCAAATCCAGTGGAGAGCTTGCAAGATGAAAATACAGCATGAGAGAAAAAGAAGTTTGGAAAAGTTTAGCTGTTTTTCCGCAGTATAATAGCATTTGCTTTGTTGCAGCCGTAACGATTTAAGGATATAAGTGAAAAATTGTTTGAAATGAAATGTGATATCTTTGGTAAGCCAACGGATGTAGTTGGAAAAAAAAAGAGACAGGTTTGGACAACCAAAATGTTTTTTTAGAGCTGAAATAAAAGCAACAGTCTTCAATAAAGACCAGCCTGTGAACAGCTGTTTTCAGTTTAACTTCATTTTGATAATAGGCTAGATAGTTGTGAGTTGCCTTAAAAACCTGCTTGTGCATGTGAACTCTGCCCCTTTCCCAGCTATTTTGTTTGTTTAAGAATAAAGAATGTACTCCTATCTTAAAATTGTACTTCACAGTATAATAAGCTTTCTTATGTGTTGTATCCTTATTTTCTGAGTCAGATGTTTAAAACCAGGAGGGATCGCATTCTCTGGTTTAAGTTACACCTGCAAACAGCTAAATCCCAGGGAGTAAAGCATACAACTTCCCAGAAGCAGCGTAGTTGAGATTTAGGTCCAAATTTTATGAATACATATGGGGTTATATGGTTTTATACATGAGAACAGACTCATTAAAGACAACGTTTATGTATGCCAGTTGCCAAAATGCTTTGACCTGGCCATGCACAGAACAACACTGTGATACCTAGTTAGGCAGTTATTACACCCTTCTTACATTTCTGGTTCTATCATCTCTTATCTTGGAGTTTGCCGGGTTTTTTGTATTCCAAAGGCACTGGAGGCCTGACCCTGGCAGGCAGCAAAATTCAAAACGCAATTAACTGCTGCCAGCAGGAACTGAACTTACTTGGCAAGGTGCATTATAGTCATCTTCATGCACCTCTAGAGCCATGCCCCTGGGGATGGCACTTATATTTATGCATAAGCCACACACACACAGAGAGAACTGCACACTGCTCTTACCGGAAGGGAGGCTCTCCTTTCACTAAAAAGTCGAGTCTGATGTTTCTTGTGGCCTCTACCCTCTTTCTCATTCTCATCAATCAAGCTGTGTCCCCAGAAGCTGCTCATCCATTTTGCAAAGGAAATATCATCATCCTCTTCATATTCCATGTACAGATGTTGCAAACTTGGGGGTGTCTTCCAACTGGGAAAAGCAAGGTCAAATGCTGCCACCAACCCAATAGCCTCACACTGTTCTGTCAACAAGAAGAAAAGGAGATGCAGTTTCAACCAGTCTTTCTGCACTCCATCCCCCAAAGCCCGACCCACTGCAGTCCTTGGCACTGTCTAAATATTAAGTCAATCCTTTCTCATCTCTTTTCAACAGGGTTTCTTTTGACATTTCCATTACAGTGATGTTCAATATAACACTGCCGCAGGGGGCTGGTGGGAAGGGAAATGTGTTGGTTGCTCCCTGTGTGTTGCTGTTGAGTGCACCAGCTGTCAATACCAATGGAGAATTGCCCGCAGTTACATGCCTGGGAGGTGTGTATATGAACCCAAAGTAGGCTTGTGAATTTGAGAAGCAGAATTGATATATTGATGGTGTCCAGAAATGGACACAGCTAACTAGCTCTGTGGGAGGAAGGACAAATGGCCCACTCTTCCCATGCTGTCCTCTGTTTTGACTTCTGTTTTCTCTGCTCTTCCTTTAGTATTCAGGAAATATGGTCTGTCTAGGTAGAAGAAAGCCCCCCTGGAGAAACTGCTTGTTCATTTTTGGGTTATGATAGCTAGCATGAACTTGTATCAGCTGCTTTTCACTGGCATATCAGAGCTGTGGAAGACCCTGCTGCACTTGGAGGCCCACAGTAGAAATGTATCTGATTTCTCCTCACCAGCCCTGGGTGTAAGCCATATAGACCCTGTCTATATCACAAAACAGAACAGGGCTGGGGATTGTTTTCTGGCCCTGATACCAAGTGGCTAGGCTGGTCACATCGACCCTGCATAGCAGTTGTGCTGTGGGTCTCCTTGAGGCTATATGCCTTGAACTGTGGTTGTAATATCTTGTTGTAACTTTTGTGTCCTTTTCTTATTTCAAAAACTCTGTAGTGGCCCATAAGACTGTTGATTGTACAGTATGAAACTGGAAGAAGTGTTACATGCCTTGGCACATGGCAGAAGGACAAGGAGGAGAGCTTTGAGGCTGTAGAGCCTGTTGGGGTAGTGTTGGAAGACTGCACAGGAGGAAGAGACCCAAATCTAAGTTCTTATTGGAAGCAGTCCTTGGTGTGTGCTAGGTAGCTAGGTGTTCTCCCAATGCTTAGGCATTGTTGTGGAGATGGTAGTTGGCCTTGGCCAGAAATATGCCAAAAAGCTTGCTGGCAATTTAGCATTACAGAGAATTCAGCGCTAAACCTTGCTCCTTGTCCCCAGTCTATTTAGCAATACATATGTAGCAACAAAACTCCAGTTTCATTCATGTGGGTATAGGTGTGAGGTTTAAATACAACACTCTAATGCAGGACTCTTCATTCTGAGTAACAGGTGTGAAGGGACCAATTAGTAATGGATGCGCCCAAGTTTTTACCTTGTCCAGAGCAGATGAGACTGTCATTAGCACCTGGACGTGGAGTACATGGGTGTTCAGATGGCATATCTTCAGATGTTGTGTATCAGAGCTTGGAGGCACAACCAAACTTACAGCAGCTGCTTTTGCAGCAGAGGCACAGAAGGACAGGAGCAAGGACATGCAAAACAGCACAGTAAACCAGCAAAACAGCACAGTGAAAAAGACACCTGAAGCAATAAAAAGGTTGCGTAGGCTGATTCTTGAGGCAGAAAAGAGCACTCCTGGCCATATTCTGACAGCCTAAATTTGTCTTATATCCTTGAGGCTACCAATCTGTACAGGCAAGGTACATCTGAAGGCCTACACTAGCTCTTAGGAAGCATCACGTGGATGGAATTTAGGCTGTCCTAGTTAGGAAGCTATCAGCCCATTGATATGTATTTTCTATTGTATGGTTCAAGTTTCTTCTTTTCTGACATGTGAGACAGAAATGCAGCCTTGTTGTGTGTAGCAGGAAATGCTTCTGCTGTGCTGAGACAGGTGACAGGGAGAGAGGCTATACCACAGCTTAACAAAATATGCTTACGTAAATAGTAATAACCCACTAATTAAGGGAGACGCAGCTCAAGCTGTTTACCAGGCACCAAGATATGTTGACTCATAGTCCCGCAGTGCAAATTTTAGCTGGGGTCTTGAGGTTTGCTTTGCAATCTTACTACTGTTTTTGTTAGTCCTTTTTTTCTTCAGTGCAATGTATGTCTTTGCATATATTCCTTCCACTTCCCTCCCACCTACAGTGAAATTTCTAGGCGTGAGCTGAGTAGTGATCCGAGTATAAAAAAGCATCAGACGACTCCTCTTCATCCTCAGCCGAGTGCTCCAGGGAAGTGGAGACAGAAACACAACCTTCAACCGCCTACAGGTAAGGATGTTAAATGTATACATGTACACACATATATATGTATATACAACATATATAAAATTTCAGTATTGCACGTTGAGTTATTCTTATGACAGATTCAATTGAGAAATTAAAAAGAGAGACTTTTATAATGAGGATAATTTTGCCCC